ACAGACAGAGACAGACAGAGACAGAGAGAGAGATTCACAGAGAGAGACAGAGTCAGAGACAGATTCAAAGAGAGATTCACACACAGAGAATGACAGAGACAGAGAGACAGAGACAGACAGATTCAAAGAGAGATTCACACACACACAGAGAGATAGAGACAAAGAGACAGACTAAGAGATTCACAGACAGAGAGAGACAGAGAGAGACAGAGGCAAAGAAACAGAGAGAGAGAGAGAAAGAGAGAGAGAGAGAGAGAGAGAAAGACAGACATAGACAGAGAATGAAACAGACACAAGACACCCACACAGAGAGGGCATGCATGCAGGCACGAGAGAGAGACAGAGAAACACAGAAAGACAGACAGACAAAGACAGAGAGACAAAGAAAGGGTGCTGATTGCTTTCTCCTGCAGCTCTGAGCAAAGGTCTCCCCTGACTTGTCAGAGACAAGGCCTGCCTGAGAGGGGTGCAGGATGCCTGGCTGTCCCTCATTTGGCCCCTGGCTGCCTGCTCGGCTGAAAGCAGGCATCTTGCTGCGGTGGTGGAATTGGCAAAGCATTCTCCTTTCGTTCAGTGGCTTGCTTTTCTGCCAGGCAGCCGGAGTCGCCACACAACACTCCGTTCATCCAAAAAACACAAATAAATAAGACCAGGTCACCAGCCCACCTCCTGCTGACTCACTGTGATGGAGGGGGAGGAGCCTGCACTCCGAACAAGGCCCTCTGGGGGTCACAACGGGCTTGAACCATTAGGATAGGCCTGAGACTCTGGATCTCCAGCCTCAGTGGAGACTGGACAGCTTAGCTTCAGACAGCTTTCTGGACCTGTGGCTGGATGACAGAACAAGGGTGTCTGTGTCCCCAGCCTCAACTCTTGTCAACCTGCTGGGGTCTAGGACAAGGGACCTCATCAACATGTTTTGGATCCCTCCTTTCTCCCTCCCAGAGAATCTGAGGCTGATGGAGACCCAGGGTAGCTATGACTTTGGTATGGCAAAGACCCTAAATGGTAGTGAATCCACGAGGGGTCTCCACATTGTGAGCCCACCCTACAGTGACCTCCTTTGGCCATCTTTCAGGCTGTCATCCTGACTTCTAACTCCCAAAGATTCACCTCGCGTCACCCCTCTATAACTGAGTCCACCTGGAAGCCAATCCCTGCTACAGGTCCCTGGGCCCGGGTCCTCTCCACAAAGCCCCTGAACCTGGAAACGGGACAGAGGGATCCCACTGCCCCTCTGTGGAGCTTGATTCCCTTCTAAGCCACATTCTGGCTTTTGTGGACTGATTAGGTCCCCAGGGTCCTCATGCCAATAACTCGCTCTATGATACAAATGCAGCTTAGAGCTTTCAGAAGAGAATTCCTAACCCAACCAATTGAGATTTCCTGCCTCTGGCTGGGAAGCCCCACCCCTGGCTGAGAAGCCCCACCCCTGGTTGGGAGGCCCCACCTCTCACTAGAAAGCCCTGCCCCTGGCTGAGAAGCCCCACCCCTGGTTGGGAGGCCCTGACCTTGCCTAGGAAGCCCTGTTCCATCTGGGAGACCAGGGCTAACACGGTCTCATCTATGTCCCCTCCTCCACTTCGAGGACTCTGCCCAGAATTACTCATCCCCACCTGTGTCTACTCTGCTTTACTTCTAGGTCTGGCTGCCTCGGCTCCCTGAGAAGGGGTGCTGGCTCGGTGGTGAGGAGCAGGTTCCAGCTGTCTCACCTCACATCCCCAACCGTGGAGAAGAAGTATCAGGAAGACGATTAGACACTTACAAAGGTGGACGCCCTAAGTCAGCAGGCCCCACATCTGTCAAGGGGCACTGGTGTCAGCAGGGTGCGTGTGGGATCTCCCTGTGATCAGCACGGCAGGGCAGACAGCACAGAGACTCACAGATGCCTTGCCCCGGGAGTGTTTCTGAAAGCCAACGATTAAAAACTCAAGCGAAGCTTCCGAGGAGCATCGCGGTTCCCACTCCCTCTGGGGGAAGGCCCTTGGTATTGGCAGCCAGCAGCAACAGCTAGGCCCCTGTGCCTGCTTTGTGGGAAACCCTGTGGGAGCAGATTATAGAAACCTGTGGGCTTCTAACGGAGGCTCCCAGACCCCAGGTGCCAGACCTCGAGGAAGTCTAGTTGTGGGGCCCAGCTTCTGCCTGGCTTTCACAGGGCACCTGTAGCACTCTGAGTCTCAACCCCAGTCCTGGCACTACCCTCCCCCTTCATGGAAATAGCCCGTGATCTTTCAAAAGACTTAGGCCAAATTCCAGGCTCGGTTCCAGCCCCTGCTATGATGGACGGGGCTTGCTGAGCCACTTCACACACAGGATTATTCAGAGGCCCTAGCAGATGGCAGGATATTCAGGGGAAGCACCGTGCATCTGAGAAAGGAGCTCTCAGGAGCTGGCCATGGTGGGAGGAGGAGAGGTTTGGATGATAGTCAGAGTCTGCATCTCCTGCCCACCCAAAGAAAAGAGGCACCTTCTCCAGAGTGAGCAGAGCCTGGGAGCAAAGCCTCAAGCTCCAGAGGCAGACAGAGCTAGAGGCTCAGCTCCTCGGCCCTGTTGCTCCCAGCGCTACCACACGTCTTATCAATAGGCACTCCATAATACCCCCATCCAGTCCATCGTTCCTGCCATGGGAAATCCTTCAACCTCCAGGGAAAGATCTGAAGCTTCCTATAATGTCAGGGATAATAAGAATGCCTGACCGTTGGCATGTTTTAGGGACTCTAGCCTAAGCAGCTGGAAAAGGAAAACCAACCAAACAAATAAAAGCAAGCAAAACCAAGAACAACAAAAAGCCAGTTGTTGGTGATGGGGGAGGGGGCATGCCTTTAAGCTCAGCACTGGAGAGGCAGAGGCAGGTGGATCTCTATGAGTACAAGGCCAGCTTGGTCTACAGAGAGAGTTCCAGGACAGCCAGAGCTACACAGAAAAACCCTGTCTGAAAAGACCAACCAACCAACCAACCAAAAACCCGAGGCCACAAAATGTGAAAGTAAGGCTGGCATCAGGACTCAGGAGGCTGCACGGAAGTTCGCAAGTTCAGGACCACCCTGCCTCACAAGCCAGGAAAAGGGGATATAGGGTTATTTCTTCCAAGTGGCATAACTGGAAACAGGAGAGCATCGATTGAAACGTGTTACAAAAACTGAGGACAGAATTCATGAATAAAGATTCCTAATTTTTGATCATCCCTAGTCAGGAGGGTAAAAGGAAAAGAGGCTATTTCTGAAAGCAACGTGAAAAGAACAAGCTAGAAACAAACGCAGACGTCACCCACGTCTTCCCTACATAGAAAACCAAAAGCATTACAAAAGAAAATCTGAAAGGCTGGAGATAGCTCGATTGGTGGAACATTTGCCTAGGAAATTTGAATCAATGGGTAAACAGGCTGTGTGTTTTTGAGTGGAAGCAGTCAACACCAAAAACTGAAAAAGAAACAGTATCAAAAGAACTTGGTCCTTATGTGAAGCTAACTGCAGTGGAGGATACTAATAGGGCCTTTTGGTTTTGTTCTGATGGGGCCAGCAGAGTGGGAGAATCACATAAGTAAGTTCTAAAACTTGGGGTCTAAAGAGCCCGGGACGATTAAACCATAGAAACATGACACCAGAGCAGAAGTCAGCAGCTCACACAGTGTAACACTACCATATGACATGGACCAGCAAAGGCTATATAGATCTGTGATACTCTGCCCTGGGGCTCACGTGTGGCACATTATAGCATAGGGTGAGCTTGAAGGTCACATCAGCAGACAGAAAGAAGGCAGACAGGTCAGCAGGAACATGGGGCTCCACAGGCTCACATGCTTGGACGCTGGTCTCCAACTGATGGCACTGTTGGGGAAGGCTGTGGAACCATTAGGACAGGGAGACTTGCTGGAAGAAGTGAGTCACCAGGGCTGGCCTCCAGTCCTTAGAACCTGGACCCAGATCCTCTTCACTCCCTGTTCCCAGGTACAATGTGGCCAGCCAGCTTCCTTCTCTTTCTGCCGGACTTCCCCTGCCTGCTCCCATGTCTACTCCCTCATGATGGACTGTGTTCCCAGGAACTGTGAGCCAACTGAGTCCTTCTCCCGTAGATTGCTCTAGTCGGGGTATCTTATCACAGTGATGGGAAAAGAAACTAAGATGTCCGCGGCATGCAAAAGACAATAAAACCCAGTTCTTGTTGGAATAATTTACATTAGAATAAGTCTGACCCTAACAACAGATAAGAAACTGGGAAGCAAGAATTTGAAACACAAAATAGAAGTCAGGAGAAATTTTCAATGCTCTTAGAAGGAAAGGCCTTTCTCAAAAGGGCAAACATTAGATGCCAAAAAAGTAAATAGGTATCCTGTGATTCCCAAGACTGCTGAGCATGCATAAAAAGCACCTCAAAGTGAAAGACGCGCACTGAAAAATATTTATATCATGTTTCTGTCATATATCAAGATTTCTTGTTAAAAATTAGAAGAACACCAAAAATGTAGTAGGAAAAGAAATTGGCAAAACCACATCAACAGCCAGCACACAAGAAACGCAATGACTCCCGCCCCCCCAACACAGTAAAGGAAGGTCAACTCCGTTCAAATAGAATTGTGTACCACTTTAACCCGCCATGCCCCATGCAGTACAGCCTCTGCTTCTGTGCCAGCAAATTCCTCTTGGAGATCTGATCTTGATGTGTTTTCACTACCTCTGAAGGATCGAACTCAGCATCAATGCTATTACTAATATTATTGAGTGAAAAAACATCAAATAGTTCTGAGGAATTCCAAACTTCACCGACATGACCCACCTCAACCTCTGTAGCAGGCCTCGCCTGGTGGGCACCCTATGCCCATTTCCCAGATGGGAGCTGTAAAGCTCAAAGAGCAGTCAGAACAGGAACCCAGGTTGCCTCAAGTCTTTGTAAAGCTCTTTCTAGGCCTGCCTCCTGGCGTGTGTTGTCTGGAGCATCCCCAGGGCAGGAGTGGGCAGTGGCCAGTGGCCAGAGCAGTTGGGAGGTGGGGGATTGGTACTCACTTGTGCATGTAGCCCTCGGGGCCAGCCGTGAGGTTTGCCTGCATGACCGCCTGGAACTCCGTCTCGTTGCAGCAGTATTTGAAGACCGTGTTGTTATGGTGACAGCAGAGGATGAAGGTTTTGTTGTCCGAGAGCCGGGGGCAGTGAAAGCCAAAGTGGTATCGGCCTTTGTGGTCTGTGTAAGGCTCACAGACCCGGAAATGTGCGGACAGGACTGGAATACAGAGACACCCGGTTTGCCAGGGACCACTTGACAGCCCACAGGTGATGAGCAGAAGGTACTGGGAGCCTGCTCTGGGGTCCTACTGGCCCCTCCCTTCCTTAGGAATTCTTCAGGGTCCAGAAAAAGCCTCACTTCTGCCCCAAAGCCTCCTGGACCTCTGATCCCCAGCTCTGACACAACAACAGCACTAATACCTCAGGCTGGATATTCCTTGGGGCTCCTTGAAGCTCACCTGTAGGTGGGTCACCTCCAACACCTCAGCCCATCGTGACTAGGTACCTATTCTGTGTACCGGGGGTCTCCTCACTAAATCCACATGGTCACCCTAGCAGGCTTGTGATGTTACTTTGAAAGTAGAGACACTGAGCCTGGAAGGCCTAAAGGACTAGGTAGGAGCTGGTCAGTGGTGATGGCACAGGACTCAAAGCCAGCTTCTGCAAACTCTCTCTCTCTCTCTCTCTCTCTCTCTCTCTCTCTCTCTCTCTCTCTTCTCTCTCTTTTTCTCTCTCTCTCTCTATCTCTCTCTCTCTTCTCTCTCTCTCTCTCTCTCTCTCTCTCTCTCTCTCTCTCTCTCTCCCTCTTTTCTGTTCTCTCTCTCTCTGTTTGCCCTAGAGCAGGTTTGTGAGCCAGGCTTTCCTGGGTGTCAGGTGACAAAGGAGTGTATGACCTGGGGTCCACCTATATTGAAGGTAGTAACTCCATTATAGAAGCTGTTGACTTGAGCAAGGTCCCCTCTGGGTTCCACACATACAGTGAGACGGCTGTGCTGGCCCGAGATCCTCTCTCCCTGGCCCACAGAACGAGGCCCCTATTCAGCCTTCTCTGCCTCAAAGCAGGATGAGCTGATAGTGATAAACAGGACCGAATTCAAACACAGCAACAATGGAAAAGCAGAGCGGCTGTCTCTGGTTTAATTAGTATCTTCATAAAGGGCTTGCTGTATCTAATTTGTATCACTGAAAAGGGGCTTCTTGGCACAGGCAAGTCGCAGGCACAAAGGCCCTGGCTTCTTCGAGCTCCCACAAGAAGCGCTGTCGGTTGAGAGGTTATTAGATTGCAGCCCACACAGTGCCACCACAGGGGACCCCAGCGGGCCAGCTGGCAGGGGGCGGACGCCCTGAGAGCTGGGGCCTAGGCTGGCTCCAAAGGCCCTTGCCTGAAGGATATTTTCTCCTCCTGTGGACGCAGTGGGGAGGTAGTGACTCTCTAGGCTCTAGTGCACCCCGATCTTGAGAAGAACCTATCCAGGGACACAGAGACCACTTGGTGTGGTGCCCCAGGGAGACATACCACCGAGTCCATCTACTGCCACCAAACAGAAGAGAGAAGGAAGGCTCCGAGCCTTGACCCACCAAGCATGCTAGTCAGAATGGAAGCTCTTTGGCCCTGCCATAGCACAGAGCTTTAGGGAACATGGGACATGATCTATTCTAGCAAGCCATGACTCCCATGACTCTTGCATGGCTTGAAGCCCTGCTATGGCTCTGTGTTCTCAGCATGGGCACCTAGGAACTCTGGGCACACCTAGGGTGCTAGCAGAAAGACCAAGCCTAGCTTTAGGACTGCCCTCTTGACTGTGAGACGCCACATATAGCAGGGGGCTGTCAGGCCTTGGCAGAGGCAATTGTGGACATAGGGGTGAGACTGGCAGGTCCTGCCCAGGACCTAGTTCACAAGCCCATAGCTGTCCCTGGATGCTCCGGCCTTAGTCGTTAGCTAGTGACCAGGAAACCCTGCCACTTCCCCAGTGACAGAGGATTCCTGGGCTGGGGACTAGGATTAAACCTCTCCCTTGTCTTTTCCCCTCTTTGGAGAAGGATCGGAGCCCCTACGGTGGGGCTCCAAGGAGCTCTGAACACTAGTGGGTACAGGTTCACTGCCTGCAGCTCTCGTGAACCCCAGCACTCCAGCACTTATGTGAAGCATGATGAACCCCAGCTCTGGTGGCCCAGGCAGAGCCAGCTCTTGTTCAGTTGTGTGACCACCACTCACTCACATGTCTCCTCTGAGTCCCTGTCCCCAGTGGCAATAAGAGATGACTGGGTCCTCACACCCAGCAGAATGAAAACCAGGGCCCTCTACCACGTGGGTAAGAGCTGGGAAAGTGAGGACCAGGGCCCCCCATTATATAGGGAAGAGCTACGAAGACACAGCACATAGCAGCACATAGTCAGGCCTCCCTTCATAGGTTCATCTTCACATGGGAAGGAACTGGGGAGGTGGGGACCAGGGTCTCCATCACATGGGAAGAGATAGGGAGGTGGGGACCAGGGTCTCCATCACATGGGAAGGAACTGGGGAGGTGGGGACCAGGGTCTCCATCACATGGGAAGAGCTGGGGAGGTGGTGGCCCCAGACTCTGGCCTCAGCTTGGCCTCTACCCTGCTCTCCTGAGAGTCCTATCACAATTTCCCTCCAAACTACATCTCAAGCAAAGGATGAGGGAAGGAAGCCACCAGTCCCGAGCAATGGCTTGGCCACGGCATGGGGAGGGTCAGAGAGAAGAGACAGAGCCACACACAATAGATAGAGACAGAGAGACGTGCGAACGAGGAAGAGATCTGGGACATATGAAAGAGATATATGAGAGAAACAGAGGGGCGCATAAGAGAGACAGATGCACAGAGACCTGGAAAAATACACAAAGTAACAGAACGATATGAAGAGTGAGGAGTGAGACAGACAGCCAGTGCCATGAGGGCCTTTGTGAAGGGCCAGGCTCTGACTAGGTCCTGGCTGGCCATACTGGGCTGTCTCTGGTCTTGGCTCAGCTCTAGTTTGGAGACATGGAGGATCTGGTTTCTGTGAGTCCAAGCGTGCATGCAGTGTCAGCCCAGGTACCAGGAGGGTGTGGCTACAGTGCCCTGGGTCTGAATCCTGGCCCCTCCACTAGCTGTGATCTCCAGGCTTAGTTTTGACTTGCAGAACTAGAGGAGCAAACGTGAATTGCAGGTTCCTAGCAGCCCCACTGTTCCCCCAACATCCAACAGACCTCAGCTTTTTTTTATCTCAGGGCTGGGAAACACCATCCGTAGACTGAGGTACCCTTGCCCTGTTGACATGCAGAGCCCCAGCAGCAGCTGTAACCTGGAAGGGACCCCCCACACTCTCCCTCAAGCCCCCGAGCCCCACAGAAGTTTTACCTGCAGGAAACAACAGAGAGAATACTGCGAGCACGTTCCGGGACCGCTGGCCACAACTGGTCATCATCCGGCTGGCATTGACCCGTCCGGCGCTGCCTGTATAAGACAGAGAGTCTCGGCAACTGTCTCCCCACACTTGCTTTGTTACCCGCAGAGGAGGGACAGCAGACAGGCAGCAGCCAGCAGGAGCTTGCAGGAGCCGGGGCGGGCGAATGGAGGATAAAAAACTCCTCCATCCAATTTCCTCTCTGGAATGAGTGACCTTCCCCCAGCAGCCCCGGCACCTCCTTTGCTTTTCACGGCAAAATGAGACTTAATCAAAGGATGCCGATGGCTCAGGTGGTGAAATCACCATCCATCCAAAGTGTCCAGGAGGAGGAGGACGACAAGTCTTCTACCTCTGCCATCTCAGGGCTAGGGACCTTGCCTCTGTGCTCTGTCTCTAAGGGTGACGGTGACTTCCATTTACCTTTCTGCAAATAGACCCTTCTAGGCACCAGGGACACAGCAGCTAACGAAAGAAAGAGCAAGCCAAATAAGCCTTTCCTGATGGTGTGTATCCCAGAGAGGAACCACGGACAGCACTCCCAGGACAGCGCTAGGAGACTCTGACCACAGCAGAGGCTTCACTGTGCACTCACAGCCCCCATAACCAAGGCTTTTGTTTACAGCAGCTAAAATAGCCTAACTCTCCACAGACAAGAGGGGATAAACAGACCACATGCATATACACACAGTGGAATATTGCTCAGCCTTAAAAAGGAAGGCAATGGAGAGTGCTTGGCTGGCATGCGAAAGGTCCTGGGTTCGATTCTCCATATTGCATAAATGACAGAAAAGGGGACTCTGAAACAATCTACCCTATGGAAGAATTTGTCAGCCGTTGTGTTTGTGAAAATACAACAGACCCAGAAATACAAACATGGAATTATCTACCTCATTATCTCTCAGGGAAAGTGCCCAGAAGAGTCATATCATAGAAAAAGGGACCCAGGACTTGCTGACCAGAGCCTACGTGATGCAAGGGGTATATCCTGACTGTATTATGCCCTCCCCTCAGTCCCTGCCATCTTCAGGGCAGCCTACAGCCCCTTCACAGGGTTCTGGTGTCTCCAGAGCAAAGATCAGCCTCCCAGGGACAGTCTGGGACAATGTCTAGGTGCACTGCCAATAGAACAGTTCAGCACAGGAAGAGCCACACCCAGGCAACAGAGAAGTGCCCCTCTCAGCCCCCACTGTCCCAGACCCAAGCTTAGCCTTCTGCCCTCAGACAATCTCCATCTGGTCACAGAGGGGATACCTGGTCACAAAGGGAGCACTGTACTCTGCTTCCATCTGGATCAGAGAGTCAGGGTTGGCTGACGGCCACTGGGGTAATTCGGAGGTTGACAACTAGCTCTAGGCCAGGCATATATGTGAAGAGCCCCACTTCTCCTAGTAGCCTGAACCTTGAGGTGTGTGTGTGTGTGTGTGTGTGTGTGTGTATGTGTGTATGTGTGTGTGTGTGTGTGAGTGTGCACGCGCACACACACGTGTAATTCCAGGGACAGATGCTGACCCTGGGCAGCTTAATTTGTCCGAGGGAGAGGACAAGCTTGACTTTCACACAAATGTGACGAAAGCTCAGAACTGAGTCCTGATGGTGGCACGGCTCCTATAGCCTCGGGGAGGACTCCTCTAGCCCTTGGGAGGACTTCTCTGTACCCTACTTGCCTTTCCATTTCCTCTAGAGCCCTAAGCAGCTTAATTGCTCTGTGCTTGGCCTCCCGCCCCTGGCCCTCCTGGGAGGAAGAACAGAGATTAAGGCTTTTGAGAACATTTAGGAAAGGATTTCCATGTGGAAACCCACAGGGTCAGCTCTGAAAAATGTACTTCGAGAAAAAAGTGCCTCTGAGATGCCCACACCCCTCAGGGCTCCTTACACTATAGACTCGGGCAGGGAAGGTGGGAAGTCTCTGGAAGGCCTCCAAAGACTGCCTGGGCCTCCAGATGCCCATCCCCACCTCCAGGCATGAGAGGCCCTGAGAGGCGGGGCTGCACCACTTCTGTCTCTGTATGGAAGGGTGTTGGAGGGCACTGAATCTCAGAGCTTCTGGGCTTGAGCATGAGATACTCATCTCAGTCCTCTGGTCAGTTTCCAGTCCCTGCAAAGGCCCAGTGTATTGGCTGATGTTGAGGCTGTCCTTCGCACTGGGGTGACTCCTGCTATCTTGGGGGGGTCACAGAAGTACAGCCCCCTCCAGGAAGTCTGCCCTTATTTCAACTTGCCCCTCAACCCAGACCCATGAGACCCCATCTCTTCCTGACATCAATTACTCCCTGCTAGGCTCTCCTCCCTCTGCTGGCCACAGAGACAGGAGGCAAAATGAACTCAGAACACACTCTACTTCCCAGAGTGAAACGGCACCCATGGCCTGTGAGGCTTTCTGTGGAATGTATGCCACTGGCTTCCTCTGAGACTTACGCTCATGTATCCCAGCACTTTGAGGATACACCAGACCCTGGGTTTGGTGCCGAGCACACTGAGGTGGAAGTCACTGTCCAAGGTGTGGGGGTGGGGAGATTTCTGGTGTCCAAAGTTGGACTTTAGAGGGCTTGTTCCTGGGTTCCTCTGTCAGGCCAGAAGGGTCCTGGGCTAGGGCCTGACTGCAGGGCCCCAAGAAGGGGGCTTAGCTTAGGGTTCCCAGGCCTGTGGGAATCCTGGCCCTATAGGATCCCAGCCTCAGATCTACAGGCATCTCTAAGACAGTGACATGATGCCATCCTAGGATACAGCTGTGTATACTCCACCCTGTGGCCCAGCAGTTCCTACCCATAGTAAGTGACCCTATGTCTGAGTCTGACTGTGACCCAGCCTGCAATGGTCTCTATGGTTTTCAGCTCCATGGTTCAACTGAACGCTCAACCCTCATCAGGGTGTGGCCTCAGAGAAGTCTACCAGGATTGTCACCCCTGGTCAGGAGAGAGTATCATAGTCAGATGTTCTGATCTGGGACATGCAGAAAGTGACACCTGCTGGATTTCACTGCACTGCAGAGGGACAGGGACTGAAAGAGGTTTGTCTTGCCTCTGAGGACTGTAACACCCCTAGAGGTGGCTGCCTTATGCTGGCTGGGTCTTCACAGGACATGCTCTACCCTGCACACAACTATATTACCTTGGCTAATGTCCACACCAACCCAATACCCACAGACCAGTTCATCATAGAAGAAGCAAAGGCTCAGAGAGGTAGAGTGAACTGCCCAATCTCACACAGACATTCAGCCCTGAGACAGGAGGCAAAGAACATTCTACCTCCAAGGGCCAAAACAGTGTAGAGGCTCAAGAGGTCTCCCTGGGAGTGCAAGGCATAGGCTCATCTGAGATTTCTCCCTGTGTGTTCCAGTACTTTGGAAAAAATGGTCAACTGCCTAAGATTTTAGCTCTGTCACCAACAGTAAGACCTGAGTATTTGAGAGTGACTGAGGTTTGACAGAGTCCAGGACCATGGTCGGCACGCACTGCCACGGCCCACCCTCTCTGTGGGTCAGCTGGGGACTGCTGCTCTCAGAGTTCAGGGTTATTTTTAAACACTGAATTTGGCGAGGCCGGGAGGGGAGGAAGAAGGGCATGTGAAGAGAAACAGACCTTGGTGAGACAGAGACCCCACCGCCAAGAATGGATCTGTTTTCCCATCATAAGGGCTCGGCAGGGCAAGGACATGCTGAGCAAGGGACAGCAGGACCTGAGGGAGATACTGGAGGACCTCATCAATGGCCTGGACACCCAGCAACTTCAGTGGCTTCCTGCTGCCTGTCTTTAGTCCCGACGCCAGCCTGCCAGGCAGGAGCAGGGTATTCCGATGGTCTATAGAGGCAGAGGTCAGACAGACTTGTGGGTGGAGCCCTCAAGGCCAGCCACTCTGCCTGGGGCTACTTTCTGGCCTTGCCACCTCTCGTAACCACATCTCTGGTGACTGGGAGAGCCACCTTCAATCTTATGTGCCCTAGGGCAAAGGCTGAAATGGTGCAAACTTACAGGATCACTGTGCTGCCCCAAGATTCTTCTCATAGCATCAAACCCTCATATGCAGCTGCGGCCACTGTCCTTGCCTTTGACTCTCCACATAAGTACCACCCACCAACACAGCTCCCAGGCAGCCATGGTCCCCATTCCACAGAGCATGCCAGACCACTCACCCACTTTAGAAATCAAGGCCTTGCTCCATACTGGGGCTTTGGCTCTGCCTAACCACCCATTCCGCCTGCTGCATGGACTTCTGCCTTTAGGGGCTGTGTCTTCCCTGAACTTTTACAGTTGCTAGTTCCCAACCCCAGGCCACCCTCCCGACCCTGCAGCCAGGTCTAGAGGTTCAAAGGGTGGAGCCCACTTGCAGCTTTCCTTCCTGATTCTCACCCCTCAAGGGCCTCCCAAAATGGCTCCCACCCTAACTGTCCAGATGCTTACTCTGGGCAGGGGCTGTGTGGTTCATGTGGCTTGTGTCCTGTCTTGAGAGTGAAGTGAGGGGTCAGAGGTCTTCTTCTCTGCAGACGGGAGCCACAAGGAAAAGTGCCCCGGTTAACTCCAGTCCTCAACGCACACAAAGAAGCCGAGAGCTATGGAGAGGATGGACTGCTCTGCTTTCTGGGTTCCAAGTGGCCTCAGGGAAGTCCAGAGCCTTGCTTGTGTCCTAGCCTGCCATGCCCAGTCACTCTCTTCTGAACCATCTGGGACATCTCTATCAGATCTGCCTATGTGGCATAGGTCAACACCATCTTGCCTCTGAAGTAGCCATGGTATCCTGTGAGCTGCCATTGGCCGTTAAGCAAACCTGATAGACACGGTCTCATGGCCATGGATGAAGGGCCTGGTAGGGACAGGCATTAAAGCAGTCATGTGCTGAGCTAGTGATTAAACTTGGGCAGTGCTAATAGCGGTAGTGACATTAGTGTTCATATAAATAATTCCACCAGGCCAAGGCTCTCCAAGGTCTCCAAAGTCTCCCTGTGGACAGCAGTGCTATGGCCAGACATAAACAGGGGAACAGAGGAGCCGCAAAGAGGGGTCACAGGTGGCAGCTGACAGGACCCATCTGTGTTAGGACAGCATCTT